CACCTTTGTAATGTGCAAACTCGTAGCAAGTTCTCGAAACACGCAACCTCAAGAGTGATTGCATCGCTGTTAAGGGCTAAGTACGCAAAAGAGTACTGTAACCCAAAACCACGAGACCTGCAAGACTGTGTGCTAAGTGAACATAGCGTGAAGATGACATATTGGAAATCGTGGAGAACAAGGGAATTGGCTGTGGTAACCGCACATGGGACAGAGGAAAGTAGCTACCTATTGCTGCCGGTTTATTTGCACGTACTCCAGCTAGCAAATCCAGGAACTGTTTACAGGCTGGAAACTGAACTGGATGATGATGGTGAGGACAGGTTCAAATATGTCTTTCTCAGCTTGGGTGCTAGTGTTAAGGGTCTGCCGTATTTGAGAAGGGTTGTGGTTGTGGACGGCACTCATCTTTTTGGAAAATACAGAGGGTGCCTGCTAACTGCGCGTTGCCAGGACTCCAATTTTTAGATATTTCCAGTAGCTTTTGCAATTGTGGACAGTGAGAATGATGAGTCATGGGGGTGGTTTATGAGGCAGCTGAGGGGGATTATAGATGATGGTCCAGATTTGACTTTCATCTCGGACCGTTGTCAATCTATTATGAAAGCAATTTCAGAGGTTTTCGAAGCTTCACATCATGGGGCCTGCCTTGTACACATAAAAAGAAATGTAAAAGCAAAGTATGGTAAAAAAAGTGGGTTACCTTCTCTGGTGTGGAGAGCAGGAAGAATGTTCAGAGTTGCAGATTTCAAGACGGAGTACAAGAGAATCAAGCGGAGGAATCGAGTGTGTTGGCGGTTCTTGGATGAGATTGGTGTCGAGAACTAGAGCAGAGCGCATTTTGAAGGAGAAAGGTACAATATGATGTCGTCTAATATTGCAGAGTCGCTTAATAAGGCCTTGCTTCCGGCTAGAGGCAGCCCTGTTGTTGCATTGTTAGAGTTTATTAGGAAGATGTTAGGAAGGTGGTTTGCATCACGACGAAAGAAAATATCAAGGACAGTTGGGGATATACCTATCGCAGTGGAAAAGCAGTTGATGAAGAGGTTTAAGGAAGGACTGGGCATGACTGTGTTGGCTGTGGGTAGCTGGGATTACGAAGTGGTGACCAAAACTGGGTCTCGGTATATTGTATCATTAGAGGACAGAACTTGCAGCTGCCTGGAATTTCAAAAAATCAAACTGCCCTGCGCTCATGCAATGGCTGCAGCTAATGATAGAGATTTGGAATACAGGACTATGGTATATGACATATACAGAATCGGTGTTTGGACCAAAACAGTCGCAGAGCCAATTCTACCAGTGCGAGATCCTGCAGATGTGACTATCCCTGCAGAGATAAGGATTAGGTATTTGATGCCACCGAGGTCAAAGAGACCACCTGGGAGACCACCTAAGCTACGGGTTCATTCGGCGGGTGAATATGAGGTAATAACTAGTTTCGAATATATAACATAGTACATACATGACAAATGGGAGGTAATGACCAGTTTGGAAAATTTTGCAGGGGACAAACAAAACGAAACAACCAAACAAATGTGGAAGGTGTGGAGGCTTCGGTCACAATAGGGTAACTTGTTGTGCACCGCTAGGCTAAGCAAGGTTGGAAGGGTCCTGAAAACTTTTTGGTAACTGGATGCATCATGTATGGAATGATGTGGGATTAGACATTATACTGATATTCGTTTGTAGACAATTTCAGATTAATGTCTTTGTCCCCATTTTCATTTATTTGGGCGTG